GATCGATAGATCGTTAGATCGATAGACAGATAGACCGATAGATAGATAGATCGATAGACCGATAGATAGATAGATAAATCGACAGATCGATCGATAGATTGTTAGGTAGATAGCGTGATAGAAAGAAAGAAAGATAGATACATAGATACATAGGTACATAGATACAAAGGTACTTAGATACATAGATACATAGATACATAGATACATAGATACATAGACATGGATAGATAGATAGATAGATAGATAGATAGATAGATAAATAGATAGATAGAGGCGCTCTTTTTGTTTAGGGGCAGGGGGTTGTCCTTGTGTCCTGTTGACGGTCGTTCCTAAACCCAGCAGAAGCACCAAAAATGATTCTGAGGAGAGCCAGCCTCTGGCGGGTATGACCAGGCGGCAGAGTCAAAGCACCCTTAGCCCAAAGCCCTGAAACGTGAAGGGTGCAGGATTTAAGGTTGAACCCTAAACCGAAATACCTAAACCTTACAGACCCTAAACCCTAAACCGAAAACCCTAAGCTTTCAAACCCTGACCAGGCAACAGATTACAAGCACCTTCTCCAACCAGAAAGGTGCCACTGCAATGCTTCTTTGCTGGATCCAGGAACTAGGTTCCCCCGTACAAACCCTGAACCCTAAACCCTAAACCCTTTTGCTCCTTGGGTTCCCTGAGGTAAAACCAAGCAGTAGGAAAAAGGATGCCCTTCTGCCCAAGGGGCAACTGGGGAACCTAGAGCAGTTTTTGTTCTTGGCGTGGGGCTTCGGTTTTAGAGTTTACGGCTTAGGGCTTAGTATTTGGGTAGCTCTCCAAAATTAGGATCCGATTTAGCTCCCCAATATAGTACGACACCCCTATAAACAGGACCTGAAAAGGGAACCTAATTTAGACAACCATCCATCTAAGATCTAGGGTTTAGGATCCAGAGAAGCTTATGCTTCAGGGCTACCTGAGAGCTTTTTAAGCAGTCGATTTCATGTGCATTAGAACATCAATCCCAGGAAATGTTACGAATCGCAGTATCTTCATATTGTGAGACTAAATGTTTATGTTTCGGGTTTGTGGTTGTGCTATGAAGTGCATTTAAGGTGTGTTTTTTTGAGCAGGGTGGTGGAGGGTTCTCGGGCGCTTGAGAATTTATCTTTGGGGTCTTGATTGCGAACAGGAAAGCCCTGAAGAGATACAGACCCAGGAAACCTCTAAGCCCTATACTGCTCCTGGGTATGTAGCCTCAAATATAGGGCGACTCTACTGGCAAGCTACATCTATACATATATACATAGATCATGTGTTTTAAGAACCCCTGTCCGCAAGTCCCCTTCTAAATCAGGTACTAATATTGTTTAATTGTTCAGGGGTGTTTTTTTCAATGGTTCACTTCTTGCGGCAATTGCTGTGGAAATTGCTCAATTCTTGCGACAATTGTTGCGGCAAGTGTTCAGTTCTTGCGGCAATTGTTGAAACACGTGCGCCGACAAGTTGTGTCTATTTTAACTTTTGTTTGTTAATCTCTGGTTTCTCTACTTTCTCTCTGTCTCCGCAACAACTGATGTAAGAATCTAACAAATGTCGTAACTGTTGCTTTTGCAATCAAACAGTTGTCGCAACAATTGTTTCGACGGTCAAACAGTTAAACAGTTGTCGCATCAGTTGTTTCGACAGTCGAACCATTGTCGCAACAAATGTTTTGACATTCAAACAATTGTCGCACCAATTGCCGCAATTTAAAAACGATTGCCGCGGCTCTGGGGTGCACCAGTGTGGCACCGGGGCTTCTAAACGCACCTAGTATATATATATATATACATATATATATATATATATATGTAGATAAATATTTATATATATATATATATATACACATACATACGTATACATACACGGAGAGAGAGATGTATATATATATATATACACATGAGTTATATGAGTTACTAGGCCCTTGTTGCCTCAAGAAGTGCCTGTAACCCTAGTCGCTACAACCTGTAACTTGGGTACTACTCCTACTCTCTTACTATTGTAGATGGCCCCTAACACAGACTGTTACAGGATGGAGGCACCCAACCTTTAAAACCTAGGACTGCCGTACTTCTATTGCTTTAGCACTCCTGCTTTCAGAGCACCCCCGGACCCCAACCTTAGAAACCTCTAAGGGACTAGGGCTCAGGGTTTCGGGGTTTAGATTTCGGATTTAGGATCTAGGGGTTGTTCACAGGGGTTAAGGGTTTGCTTTTAATTTTTAGATACTAGCTGATCCTGGGAGTAAGTCATATCGTAAATCAGGGGTCTACATTGCTCTATACCCTTGTACACCGATCTTGAACCGAATACACAATCACTAAACACGTTAGGCTCCTAATGAAACGTACAAGCTGAGACGTTGCGAAGATGAAGAAAAACCAGCATATGAACTACTGCTACAACACTTTGTAAGGCCCTAGCATGCACCTACAAGCACCGTTAACCTCCTAAAAGAGCTCACCAGACCCCCAGTCGCACCACGGCGAACCCTAAACCCCAGAACCTTAAACCCCTAAACCCCTAAACCCTCAACCCTAAGACCCCTAAAACCCTACAAACCCCCAAAAACCCTTCAACCCTAAACCCTGAAACCCTAGCACCCAAAGCCCCTGAACCCCTCAACTCTAAAGACTCAGAAGGCTCACCTTCCAGAGCCCCGGCGGAGCGACGCCGGCGGAGACTTCGGCGGGCTTCGGCTTCGGACAGAGCCCTGCACCGGTGCCTTGGGCTTGAGGATGAAGTTTAGGGTTTAGGGTTTAGGGTTTAGGGTTTAAGGCTTAGGCTTTAGGGGTTTAGGGTTTGACTTGAGGTTTAGGGTTTCGGGGCTCAGGGTTTCGGGTCCTAAGGGCTTAAGGGTTTAGGGCTTATAGGGCTTTGGGTTTAGAGTTTGACGTTTGGGCATGTTTTGTTGTTAGGGCTTGGTATCGGGTGCGTTGGAGTTAAATATGGGCGTAATAATTTCAGCATTTTCATGGGTTTCTAGAGTTGATATGATAGACCTCGCTTAGGGTCTTGATTCTAGGGTGAGGACTTCAATTTAGATCTGAGGATGGGTGTATCAGTGCCTTGGTTAGGCTTGCACTCTTCAAGTTGTCTTTGCTCTTTTTGTGCTTTGCAGCCTTGACCCTAAACCCTAAACCCTAAACCGTCTTCAACAGGGTCGGGGAGCCCCAAACCAGCTAAAGGCCAAAATCCAGAATTTCAATGCCCTTCCTCACGGACCATCCGCGAAACCTAAACCCTGATACCTAAGCCTGCAACACCGACCTGCCTCATAAGGCTAAAGGAGGGGCCTAAAATGATTACCTATACTATTTTGGTGGGTTCCTTATTAAATTATTAGTATAACCATAGTATAGTATGCCTGAAAACCGTATAGTATATTCTAATTGTTAAGCCCCCTACCTTACTGCGGGAGTACTGCTCAAACAATGGGTACTTGGAGGGATAGGGTTTTGGGGTATGTTACACTATACTTGTAATAAGGAACCCCCCAAGAATAGTAAGGGTAATTCTTTAGGCCCTAATATTAAACCCTAAAAAGCCTTAGAACACGTCAGGTGCAGCCAGCCCCGGGCTTCGGTGCCTTCGGTGCCAAAGCATCCTCTCCTGCATTGGGCGGCGCGCCGGCCTTCGGTGCGCCGGCCTTCGGTGCGCCTGCTTTTGGGGCGCCGGCTTTTGGGGCGCCGGCTTTTGGGGCGCCTGCTTTTGGGGCGCCAAACCAAGGCGGCTTTGATGGGCTTCAGCCTGTAATCAGGGCTTTTAGGGCACTTATAAGGCTCAGTGTGTCTAATTTTAAGGTTTCGGAGGCTCCTCACCAAAGCCCAGGTGGCTTTGGGGGAGGCGGCTTTGGGGGACTCGGCCAACCAGGAGGAGGAGGAGGCTTCGGATTTGGCACGGCGAGAAAGAAGGTGGCTGCAACTTCGTCCTGCATTTTTTCCGCGTTCCAGGGCTTGCAGTGTTCCTTTAATGGTGTATATGGCTTATGGGGTGTACTCTTTAAGGGTTTATAGCCTAGGGTTCAGGGTTTCAGGATTGTTCAAATTTCTGTTGACGTTTTGCCGGTAGTATGAAGGAAAGCGTTCCTCGTAAGTAGGTTGATAGATTATTACGCTTTTTGAGTCTATCTTATGTTAAGTAGTTGGTGAGGAAAGAATCACGATCCTAGCTTCGGAAGAATACTCCGAATACACTACTTACTACTCTTACCAGCGGTCAAAAGGTCAAAATGCTTCCTTCGACCGCTTTGGAAACCCTACTTCGTGCCCAGACTCTCAACCCCAAACCCTAAACCCTATACCCTTCAATCCCAGAATCATACACCCCCATTCCCCAGATCTAGGTTCCTCCTTCAGCAAGCCTCACCCCAAGCCTTCGACCCCTAAACTCCTAATTATGGTTTAGGGTTTAGGGTTTAGGGTTTAGGGTTTAGAGTTTAGGCTTTCAGCCCCGAGCATTTGCATCTAAGATCACCAAAGCGGCAGTGACCAACGCGGGATTTGGATTTGGTGGACAGCCACAGCAGTTGCAGCAGCCGCAAGGCAGCCCCTTGGATGGCATCGGGTTAAGGGAGGATCACCTAATATATTAGGTACACACGATATATATATATATATACACACACACACACACTTCTACATGTATAGGTATGCACGTACAGAGATGCCTGTATAGATGTATGCATCCCTGTTCCCTAAACCCCAAACCCTGTACGTATGCCGAAGCGCCGAGATCAAGTTAGGAACTGGAGGGATTAGGATGTAGTATTGGAGTCTGGAGAATTTGTGATGCAATGCACTTGCAGTCGCGTCATAGGTATAGCGACAATGTACCGATTACGAAACCCTAAACCCTAAACCCTAAACCCTATGTGCAGAAGGAGTCGACCTAAGTCGTACAGACTTTTCTCTCTGCAGGGAGGAAAAAGGTCCGGTCCAAAAAAAACCCTAAACCCTAAACCCTGAAGGCCCTTTGTTAGATTTTAGGAGGGTGAGGCTCCACTATTCAACCGAATCTCGCACCTCCTGAAGTTTGAAAACTGAACAGACTACGGCTTACGGCTTACGGCTTGCGGCTTAGGGTTTAGGGTTTAGGTTTAGGGTTTAGGGGTTTAGGGTTTAGGGTTTAGGGTTTAGGGTTTAGGGGTTTAGGCTTTAGGGTTTAGGGTTTAGGGTCATAAACAATATGCGGTTGTGCGCTGTGCATTCTGGGCCCCGCCGTGCCACTTCTTCAAGCCCCCCTCCCCCACACCTAATTGACCTTTGGAGGAAGCATGAGAACACACCCTAAACCGTAAACCCTAAATCCCTAACCCTACACCCTAATTGCCCTAAATCCCTAAACCCAACCCCAAACTCCTGAGACCCTTAAACCATTCTGAGGCAATCCTGAACCCTAAACCCTAAACCCTATACCATTCTGAGGCAACCCTGAACCCTAAACCCGAAATCCTAAACTCTAAACCCTAAACCCTCAACCCTTTGAAAACAAAAGCCTAAATCCTAAGCCATTCTGAGGCAATCCTGAACCTGCGGCATCCCTGGCTTCCTCGGCTCCTCAGATCGTTCAGTCCGCCGATGCTTGCTTCTACAGCCTTGATGCAGGCCGAGCTGTAGGCTTTAGGGGTTTAGGGTTTAGAGATTAGGGTTGATGCAGGCCGAGCTGTAGGATTGAGGGTTTAGGGGTTTAGGTTTAGGGGTTTAGGGGTTTAGGGTTTAGGGGTTTAGGGGTTTAGGGTTTAGGGTTTAGGGTTTAGGGGTTTAGGGGTTTAGGGGTTTAGGCTGTAGGGGTTCAGGGT